GAAACTAAAGCAAACAAAGCCTCAACTTTTTGTTTTTCTTAGCCGCCGCCTTCTTCTTTTTTTCCGCTTTTGGCCCGTTAAAATATTCGCATCGCGTGCCTTTGGCTTTTTACCTTTATGTCGTGTTTAGCATTAGCGTAGCTTCTAGCTACCAGCTCCTTGCTCCCTACTCCCTGCTCCTTGCTCCTCCTTCCAGGATCTGTATCCGTCGACACATGAAACGTGACTAAGCTGACAATTGTGTCGAAGTAAATCCAAGTTTTGTGAGCCCGACTAAATAAATCTCCCAGGCGAGCGCAAAACTTTGACAAACAAAGATTGTGGATGCGCAGGGCTTTGCAAATGACGCACAATGAGCCATGTGTGTGTGAGGGGGGAGGGGGGGCGACATGACAGGCGACATAAATAGTTGGGCAGGCTCCGGATCCTTAGCTTTAGCTTCATTTTGGGGGAGGGGCGGGTACCCCAATTTAATAAACTGTACACATTCACCTACCTATGCAAAGGAATTACTTGACCGGACCGGTACAAGGAATTCCCCACTAAACTTTGACAACTTTGTGCGAGTGTATGCGTGTGCGTGCGTGTCTGTGCTTGTCCGCTCTATTTATATGTCAAGCGCAGGCGGTGCAAACACACCGATACGCACAGAGATACAAAGCTGCGCGGCTGTGTTGGTGCAAATATAAACAGAGACTGTACACGCATACAGATGGCCCGCATTATGCTATGCCTCCCATGGGGGCGGGGCAGGGGGTACAGGTCAAACTGGGCCTGTAACTGGATGCAATCACACACACCCAGGTCGGTACCCTAATACATAGACACGCTATAAACAAAGCGTCCAATTGTCAGTTTAGACGCCTTTTGTTTGCTCCTCTTTGCATCTGCCCTTCTGTCTGGTGTGGCTGCTGCTTATCAACAAAATGGCAGCAGCAGCAGGAGCAGCATCCCCAGGATTCCCAGCATACCACACCAATCACAACAAAAAATCGTACAACATTGCGTATACGCAGCGTGGCACACATGTGCACTTGCATTTATTCATTGTCTGCTTGCTTTTACCTGTCATCGTCGCTGTCTCTCTGGATTATTGTTATTATTGATGGTGCAACCAGAACCCCGATTCTGCTGCAATGTAATGAGCTAGAAAACAGAATTCTCCATCGATTAAGCGATTGTCATCACCTTTTCCGGGTCCCCCCCGACTGCAATGCCATTTCCCCGCCTGGCATCTTTATCTTTCGTTTCCCACTCACTTAACTCTGAGGCAGAAGGAAGAAGCAGAAAACAGGACAATTGCAGAACGAAACTGTAGTTAAGAGGCGCTGAGAGCAGTTGTCAGTTCAGTGCCGACCACCTGGGAACGCAGGAGGGTTTCGGCTCAGGTCGCCTCATTTTCATTACTCCAGCAGCCTCGCCCTCTGCTGGCAGCAATTCATGCTTAACTGACATTTCAGCTGTCATACCGAAAGTGTTTTACATTTCTCTCTCGTCAAGGGAAGGAGCCGGGGGCCAGGAGCAGAGGAGGAATTTGCTGCTGCCGAAGGTGTTGGCATGCCCCCACTGCCCATTGTTGGCATGCCACAAGCAGCTGGTGTCGCTTTTCGATCCCCCGCATCCCAGCCCTTAATTTAATTAACATATTTCACTCACGCAGCACGAGCACGCTGCTTGAATGTTTTCATCTCATCTCCTGGCCCGATAATGCGGTATACCTAATTGAAGTTTTCGCTGGACTCGTCGCCGAATTCCCTTCAATTTAGCAGGAAACTTGCAAAATACTTTTTTCCATTTTCGCTGATTTTCCATTTCGGTTTGTGGCTGGCTTTTTTTCTGCTGAGTGCATTATAAAAGCATTAAAATGCAAGCCAAAAAACCATAACCGAAAAAAAGAGGGGATAATGGGGAAGGAGAATGGAGAAGGAGACAAAGCAAGCCCAGCAGGAGAATTCGCTTTGTCACATGCACACTGGGGGGAAACATTTGGCCTTGCAGCCTCCAACAGAAACCGCCCACCACCCTCTTACCACCCTCGCCCTTGGTTATCACTAAAGCTCGCCTCGCTTTTTCATGCTCCGTCTGACGAAATGCCATTACACATTTTGCGTACCCTAAAAACAGCACCAACTACAACTACAACTACAACGCATTCGCATTCAAAATGACAACGGCAACAGAAGCGCCAGCAGAGGAACAACAACAGGAACAACACAAACAAACAAACAGCAGAGGGGAAAAATAAACGCTGGGGGTTGTAGAAATGAAGATAAGCTGCTTATCAGCGCCATTCCCAGTAGTTGCCCGTTGTTCATTCGCCTGGCTGTGCTCCGTGCTCCTTCCACAGCCTCCATCCTCGCTCCATCCTGGCACATCCTGCCACATCTTCTCCTTCTGCGCCTTCTACTTGCCTCCGACTGCGCTTTAAGTGGTCGCTTGGCATTCGCATTGGCTCCCAGTTCATGGCAGCTCCTCTACGCCTGTCTGCATGTGGATATAAATGCGGATGGGGATGCGGATGTGGATGTGGATGTGGATGCGGATGCCAACTGGCAGGCAAACAGGCGAGAGCAGCCACGACCAGTGCAGAATCCTCTCTGTTAGCCACTTTCCTTTGGCCCCCAACGTGGCCATTGTCATCGTTGTTGTCTTTTTTTTTATTTTGCCATTTGGCTAAGCCCTTGACTTGGCCAAGCCAAAGAGAACGACAAGAAGATACCCAGCATAGACTCTAGAATCATTGTTAAAAAAATATTTAAAAATTTCAAAGTTTCTTATAAAAATCCAGAAATTTACTATGCGCATATCGATTTGATCCTGGCGTGTTTTTGTTTTGTGTTGATTAATTAAAAGTACCAATATCCCCCTCAAAACCTTGCTAAAAGAATCGACATTTTTGTTCCGTTCTTGCTTAATATTAAACTAATGCATGCAGCACGCCACAAGCTCCCCGCTCCAGCTACCCAACTAACCAGCTACTCCGCCTCCTCAGATCTTATGTGTATTTAAATGACGCCATCGCTTGTGCATGCAAATGGGGCTTGGTTAGCTACTTTAGCTTAACTTTTGCGCTTGATGACGATATAATTGGAGGGCAATGCAGCGTCGAGGAGCGCTGCAAAGTTCTTGGGCTAATGATAAGTTCTTGGATGGAGGGGATGGGGCACATCACTCATACGCACCGGCGACCGGGTCCCGGCCATTTTCAATTTCCATTCTCTGCGCTCCAACAGTAAGCGCCTTAAATCCGAAATCTAATTACACGCAAGGCAAAGACAAAAGTCCACAAATATTCTCTCCACCCAATTTTAATCACAGATGACCGACCGACCGACCGACAGGGCAACTTTCCCGCTGCCAATTTTGAGTGAACATTTTTGAGGCAACTTTTGGTGCTTTTGCTGCTTTGCTGCTGTGTTTAACCGCGTGAAATAATCTTTGCTGGCAGGCAGTCGGCGCCAAATCCTGCCGCCCTCCTACCCTATTTTTGTTGTTGTTTCCGCCGCCGTCGGTGGCGGAGGGGCGAGTTTCATTATAACGATAATGCGCAGGCCCCACGGCAATCCACGGGCAGCAGGCCGAGCATCTCGTTCGAGGCCGACAAGTTGGTGTCATATTTTCCGCAGCTTAAATTTCCCACAGCCAGGCCAGTGGCCACTTGTGCTCGCCCAGATTCTTCGGCCCCTCTGGTCCAGCTTAGCGGAAAGGCGGAGGGAAAAGCAAAAAGGAGCCGGCACTACGCAGACAGCAGGAAAAACGGGAATTGTCTCGGCCTAGCGCAATGCGATTACGGCAAAGGAGGCTCTACAAGGAGCTCGCAGGACTAACTAACTAAGCCAGAGGCGGCTCACACACGCACACCGGGTCCTTAGAGGGCGGATTAGGAAAATAGGGGGGTTGTTTTAGGAGGACGGGTACGATTTTCGCGCCCGGCAAATCTCAACAAATTTGAAATTTTCTTCCTTGGCCGTTGGCGCTTCCGTTTGTTGCCGCTTTTTATTAGGCATTTTTTTTTTGGTGTCCGCTGTTCTGTCCTCTTTCGCTTTTGGCGTTTGAATTTGTCGAGCATCCTGTTTGCACGGCCCCGCCCTCCTTCCACTCCTGATCCCCTCCAAAAGGCGTCCTCGAAATGCTTTTTAAGCCTACAAATGAGCTTAAAATTTTCTATGCGAGTGAATGCGAATGCGAATGCTTTTGAAATTTATTACAGCGCAAGGAGTGAAGAGGATAAGGGAGGCACACTCACACACACACCGACACCCTCGTCCTGGCTATATGTGTGTGGGTGTTGGTGAGGCATATCAAAGGCATTTCGGCACTCGATTTTCGTCGTCCTCTCATCGTCGCCTTCTCATCGGCATTGAAATTTTTGAGCGCGGCAAATTGAATTTCATTTGAATGTTTTTCCCTTATTTTTATTTATATCTTGTTACTCGATTTGGAAATTGCCTTTTGCCTGGTAATTTTCAGTTTTTAGAGTTTTGTATCTATTTCTCCCGACCCTCAACCCACTGACATCCCATTTGAGTTCGGGCTTTCCGTGTTTGTTTGTTTAGCCATGCCCGACGAGGAAGGAGGAGACAAATTGAATTTTCTATGCTGTTAAATAATTTCATTTCGATTTTGTTCCTTTCGCCTGATTTTTGTGCCTGGCTTTTTCAATGCGAACTGATTGCAGCTCTCGCCGCCCGCTGTTCCGTCAAATCCATTTGTAGTTTAAAAATTCACGAAATACTTTTAGTGTCAAATGTGCAATGATTTCGCCATTGACACAGTGAATGCAAAACGACACAAAGAGAGAGAGAGAGAGCGGAGGGTGAAAAAATGTGATTTATCATCGGTTATTTTAGCAGGAAGCCCCGGCTCCGAAATGCAATTAAGCTAAAAATAAGTTCTCGATTTAAGCACTTCACTGTGCTGTGCAAATATTTTGTGGCACGCCTGACTAATGCTCCCCGTTTATTTTCTTTTCTTTTCTTTTTTTTGCAACCTATTTTCAGGCTTCCTCCTGGAAGGAGTCACGCCAACGGCACCCCCGGATGTTCCGCCGCGTAATCCAACAATGAGTCGCATGCAAAATGGTCGTTTAACCGTTAACAATCCCAATGACGTTGACTTTGAGCCATCTTGTTTGGTGCGAACGCCATCGGGCAACGTTTACATTCCTAGTGGAAATCTAAGTGAGTAAAGCCTGGATAGATCGCAATCACCATCCTTACCCAAACCCTCTAACCCCCCTCACCCCCTCACATATAAATCCCATTTGGAAAGTGTGCCGCTCGACCGCTCGTTTGCTCTCGTCCTGCCTAAAAGCCTCCGCAAAGCAATTTTTCCAGCCATATGCAAATCCAAACCCGCAGCGAACCCAAACCCAAACCTCCCCCCAACTTCATCCTCCGCGGCGACCATCAAAAAGCCACTTGACTCATTTAAATGTTTAGCGCTCGCATCGTGCACAAAAATTCCATTTGCCATATTGCTATAAAAATGCAAAACACAAAAAAAGAAATCGAACCGGGACTGGCGGAAGGGAAAAGGCCGCAGCATTTTGCAAATTTTCAGCTCTTTTGTTTCCTATGCGCCATGCGCCTAAAATGCCGCCATACATTTGCCATTTATTGTTTTTCCAACAATGTTCTTGGCCTTTTTTCCCTACAGTTCAGTTCGGTTCGGCTGGAGTTGGTTTTGCCTGTTTGTTTGTGTTTTCGCTCTATGCATATCCGCAAGCAGGCTTTAGGGATAAAAACATTCGAAAGTGGAGTAAAAATAGTTGGCAATGGAAGCGGCGGCGGCGGAGGCCCAACAAACCGAAAAAAGCCAAACGACCGCAGGGGCCTAAACAGAAACCCGGACAAAAAACTGACAAACAACTGCGGCTCACACATGGCGGCGAATGGCTGTCGGAAGATATGATGTAACGCGGGGCGGGCATTTATGGGTCTATTAATTGAATGAACCCTTATCGAAAGGACTTTCATTAGAAAGCAGCGGCGGATCCTTGATGCATTCTGGCTTTTCGCTGCACACATTTGGGCGCTCGCCCTGAAATATCAACAAAATGCGAGAAAGTAACGTAAAGAAATAAACAAAGGACATTGTTGGCCTGCTGCACCGCCCACTGCGCCCACGAAGGAGGTGAGCGGCCAGTCTCGTGCGTATACATTTGTGTAGCACACTTTCGGGCTGCTGCTGTATTTGCTTTATGCTGCCTTTTGTTTTCCTTTTGCATTGTGCAAATATACACGCTCTCTCCACACTCACACGCAGTGTTATCGTATATATGCCAAGCTTTGTCTTGATTTTCCTGCGTGCCGTATAATTTTCCCTGCCTGTGCTTTCCTCATTTTTTATCCAAGACATTTGTTTTAGTAAGCGCGCAGCTGGGCATTTGGCTTACTTTTGAAAACTTTCGTGCTTCCAGCCAGCCGTTTGTGGCCTGGATTTAATGCTGAGTTTTTCGGCCAGAATTTGGAGCTCTTTAATCTGGCAGTTGCACATCAATGCGGCAGATGGATTTTGCATATAACACTGCCTAAGTGTTCTTTCTGTCCGCCAATTTGCATTTTGCATATCGTTTATAGGCTATCCAAGTCCCCATTTCCCTCCTTTCTGGCCCAAAGTGCAATTAAATGACTATTTATGAAATTCTATTTGCATTTATGCATAAATTGATAAACATTCTAACCTGCCAGCCGCAAAGTATGCAGCAGGGGGGGATGCCCAGCAGGGGCTCCGTTGTCATCGTAACACAAATATTGATTAAATTCTATATCAAATTGAGATTCAGGTTGGCCCGCACGCACACATGGATATGTATGAATAAACATAAATGGCACACACAATCACATGACATTTGGCAGCGGCCTCTTCATTCTGAACCGCCCCTTTCTCTCCGCCCCCCAAAGCTGAGAATATTTTCATTTCAATTTTTCCACCAGTGCCAATTTTTATGGAAAGTATTATTTGTTGACTTCTGGCACCCGAAAAACGAGAGGGAGCCCAGCCCAACTTGCAAATGAATGAATGAATCAGGCAGAGAGCCTACGTTATTTCGCCAGGAGAGGAAAACTTTGTCCGTAATACGCTCGAATTCGAAGCTCGAACCCGTGCATGTAGCTTAAAATTTCTGTGTGAGCTTCCAAACGCGGGCATGAAAAAATGCTTATGCACCATATGCAAATACATATAAAAATGGGCATTCTGCACGATTGGATACACACGCATGCGGACATGCGGACAAGCGGACATACGGACAAACGGACATGTGGAGGTGGACATTTTTACCAACCCATCAGGCAACCCATCGGGGAGCGAAACAAAAGTTTGGCCAGGAGTTAAAAATATACGAGTATGTGTACATCGCAGCAGAAAAATTGCATAAATTGCCGCAGCCAGCGCGTGAAAAACGAGCATTCAGAGGGGATTGTCCAAAACAAAAGTCGACATTTTCAGGGAGGCGGCCCATTGCTCTGCTGTGATTCGGGATATGGGCAGCTGCTCCTGATTCCGTACATTCCATTCTTAAAGCTGCGATAAAACACTGGTCCCAGATTCACGTTCTGATTGGGCCGCACTTTACACCTTAAATTGTTAATGACCCGTGAGGGGACCTCCACAATCGCTGTGCCCCCTGCACTTGAAAAGGACGACTGAGCGAGCATTGGCCATGCAAATGTAAATGGCTTCCGCTGCTGTCTCCCCGTCTAGTTAAAAACTTTTCAGTTCCACATCTCTAGTCTAGTATGGTTTCCACCATTGCCGCCTGCCGGCTACGTTTTCATTATAATAACAGGCCATTGCGGCATTTTGATGCGGCAGTCTCCGTCTCCACCACCTGCCACTTTCCCCTTCCTGTTGCTTTAATTTTTCATCGCTTTCGAGGTTAGTTTGCAGAAAAACTTTGCGCTGTCATTGACCGCTCGCTGCCACTCGCCTTTCTCCCAGAAGGCCAGCGCCTAGTGCAAGCGCCTAGACTAAAGCCCACCACCGCCCAGCGGCGTCTGCAGGGAAGGTCCTGTCTCCGCCTGCCCTTCTGTGCGTCCTTCAGCCAACTTTCCTCTGTCCAGTGCAGTCCGGTCGAGTCGAGTCGAGTCGTCGAGACTCGAAGCTCAAGAGTCGGGAGTCTAGTTCACTGTCTATTGGCCGGTCGTTATTGCTTTCGACTGGTTCTGGTTCTGGTTTATCGCTGCTGCCAGCCATGGAAATACTCGTAAATTTGCCAGCATTTTTGCAAAACCTCAACTGACCTCCCGCCCCCAAACGGGGATCCCCAGAAAGTGCTTTAAATTTGTATAAATATAAAGGGGAGCCATAGTGAGGGGCCAAGAGATATGGATAGAGTGAGCGCCGGCACGTTTTGGTTTTTGCTGCTACTGCTGCTACTAAATTCATTCATAATGGGTTTTTGCCCCATTTCGGTGTGGCAGCAGCACCCCTACCCCTTCTCCGCCACGCCCCTTTATATAGTGTATATAAATTTAACGTTTTTACGCAAACTGAAATTTATTATGGCGCAGCGTTGTAATTTATATTTTATGCCTGCTAAGTACGGAGCTCCTTTCCTTGGCACCCGTTGAATGGATATGTGGCCTATCCCTATCCTATCTCATCCCTTTTATCCTGCACTTTTCACGCACAATTTTAATTTTATCTGCGGAGGAGGAGGAGGGCAGGTGGCGGAACCGTGGCCATATCCATTCGATCTACGTTTCGACTGCCGTTTTTTGTGACGCAACAAATTGCCTTCGTGTTCCGCTTGGCACTTAACTTCCCAGACATATATGTATATGCGAGTGTGCATACATATCGGCATACATGCATTTGGCCATGGCCATATAGCCATATAGCTATGGCTTTGGGTTTGACTTTGGCCATAGGTAAGAGCTGTGGCCATTTCGGTCCTCGAACGTGAATTTAAGTCCAGTTGTTGCTGTGGCTGTGGCTCCTGCTGCATTTATAGACCGGGCAATAACCATTTGGCAACTAGAAATTGGCATTTTATGTTCGCCTGTCTGGCCTGTCCCCTGCTTTTCCCTCCCCTCCCATCTGTACATCTGTGGATGTGTGTATCCTTTGATTTTTGAATGCAGATTGTTGCGGGATTTATTGATATTGAGTGCGATTGAACCGAACGACCCAAGTGGGACGTACCCGGATCTCTACTCTTTGGCAAAAATACCTCAAATGCTCGACTAAAAAGTTTGGATGAAAGCACCTGGATATGAACCTTCTTGGGCGACTTAATTAGGCGCAGGGATAAGTTTCCGGACTGTCTGGGCTTCTGAATTTCTTAAAGCATACTTTCAGGTGCGCATACGAAATTGCTTTCCCTTGAATCCTTTTGCGCCTCCCCTCGAAAATATGCAGCGAAGTCATGCAGAACATTAACAAAACAATGTTTGCCTTCATCCTCAGCATCCTCATCCTCAGATTCCCAGCATCCTTCGCAGCTGTCCTTGCTGGTGGCATTTATATGCTGCATAATTATAAGGCATGTGCATGGTGCTGGGGTGTTTGCATAATTTATATGTTTTTAATGATTTCGCCCTTCGCAAACAATTTTTAATGATTTTCAGATTCAGAACGGCAACATTGCATTTTGCATCCATAAGATTTGCCGTTGTGGTGGCATCTATGTGTAATGTATAATTAAAATTGCAATGCACACGAAGCGTGTGTGGAGAGTGACTTGGCTTTTGTTGCTGCTTATCCCCCGTCTCATATAAATATGTTAATTAAAATAATGTTACCCGGCTGCACAGAACAAAAATGCCAAGCAAATGGCTTAGAATAGCTTGGAGTGAATGAGTTCCCTGCAGGCTCGCTTTGTCGCCATTTTGCATTTACATGCCACGCTCAACGCCTTTCAATAGGCAAAACCCAAACCCCTACAAGTCGCAAGGAGTGCGCACATTACTCGACATTACGTATACGCAGTGGAGAGCCTGGCCTGCCGCACAGAATGTAAACAAGCGGCAGCAGCAGCAGCATCGGCAGCTGTGGGGAGTGACTTCCGTTGTGGGAAATGCCGACAGTGTCTGGGCAACGTCTTTTGTGCCTTTTCTACTTATTCAAAATAAATTAAAAATGGAAGAGGAAGTGAAGGAGGAGAGGCAGGCAAGTCGCTGGGGGAATGCAGCCAGCCATGGCATAATTATGAACTTGAAAATTCCTCAGGACGGGGGGATAATGCATAATTATTTAAATAAAAAGACGCTGCGTTTTCTCCGACCACTTACTTTCACCGCCAGCCATCTTGAGACATGTCGAGTGGTTCAATCCTTTTGGGGATCGGTTGAAAATCCCAACAGCAGCCGAATTACTCCATATGAATTTTTAATTGGAATATTTTTAGAACGCAAGTGAGAGTTAGCAAGCAGCACAAAAGGCAAAACTTTGATAAATTATATATACCCGAGACTATTCCAAATTCATATTTCATTCGACAGCTTTGCCTGGGAGAATGTTTCTTAGGGGTCTTAGGGCTTCCTGCCTCCACCTTCACCCAGATGATAAGTCATTCAACTGTGCGAGGCGAAGGATCTTGCCTTTTGCCATATTTGGCTGCAACGGTCTTGTTGTTGCCCGAGGTCATTGCAATTTTGTGCTGCGACACGAAAGTGTCTGCCACTCGCACACCCACAAATGCATGAGCCCAAGTTGCCCCACATCCTGCTGTTGCTGCTGCTGTTGCTCCTCTTTCTGGTGTATGAAAATTCATTTCAATTAGTGAAATGGTTTTGGGATTTGTACGGCAAACCACCAGCGCGCGTTGAGCGGAGAAGGGAATGCACGTCACTTTGGTGGCATGCAATGAGCGAGTTGCAACAGCAGCAGCAGCAGCAGCGCTTGTTGCAACTTTATTTACCTTTACGTGGGACATAACTTGTAGATAGAGATATAAGCGAGGGGCTAGTTGCATGTGTGTGTAATTTTGCGGCATGGGATTTGCGGCAGGATTAAGAGGCATGCGAGAAACTTATGGCGAACTTCCCGCCCCAGTGTCTTGAGGAGGCCATTGAACTGGAGCTACGTACTGAAGGATTAAAGAGTAGCTAGGGCGGCTGTAAGCCAAAAGTGTGCCAAGGCAGCAAATATTTAAATTTTAATGCTGAGAAAACGAGAGGAACTTTGTGTATTTAAAACTTTTTCCGTTTGTTGGTCGTTCCTGCGGCTGCTGTTGTTGCTCTGTTGTTCTGTTGTTATGTTGCCTGCCCCGCAGCTTGTTTAGGCAACGCAACAAACTCGTTTTCCTATCTGACTACATCTCTGGCTCCCCGGCTCTGCGCAGTTTTACTCAAGTTGCTCCCTCGACGACACTTTTTTGACGCTGTTTTATCAGCGGACCGGCGGCGGCAGCGGCAACAATATAACGAAATTTATGCAACTAACCAAATGTTTTTGTTTCTGCATTTTTATCGCCCTAAACGTTTGTCGAAAAAAGCGACTGTGCGACTCATGTGGGGTTGGAGCAACCGTTGTGCCAGAGTTTTATTTTTCCACTACCCCCCCAAAGTTCCACTGGGAGCTGACTTCAATGAGAATTCGCAATCTGGTGGAGCAGAGAGAGAAAGCCGGGTGGAACGTCTTCCAGATACCCTTATGGTAATAGCCTTGACTTCGGCCTGCTCTTTGACCCCCAAAAGTGGACCGCACATACACGCTCCAACTTGGCAGCTGTATCGGTCAGAGAAATCTTACTTTCTTGAAACGGGAATGGAAAAGTTTTGCTGGGAGCCAGACAGAGGGCAACATATTGTCGCACTCTATAAATTATGCGCATAACCAGAGAAACCCGAGCCGGGAGCATGTGAAGCAGCCACCCCCAAAGGAACCTTCGGTTTGTGGGATTCGGTTCAGTTCGGATCGGTTTCGGTTCGGTTTCGGTCTCGAAAGAAAGAGAAACCAACCAAGCATAACTATTACAATGGCAAAAAGTTTAACTAGTCATGTGAAGACTCCCCCTCACACAACTTCAACTCCAACTCCAGCGGCATTTCCATCTCCACTTCCATTTCCGCCCAGTTGGGTGGGTTTAAATTTACTATTATTGCTTTACCTTCTACATGTGTAATGGGCCTAGGCTGGTGGCAGGAAACCACAGCATTTGTTCGGGGAGTTTTGCACAAGGTGAGCTTTTGGGGGTGGCTGCTTGGCTGCCTTAGTTATGGGCCTTAAAACTTGTCACACTTGTCAGCAGAAAGTTTCCAACAGCCCGAAGATGAATCGGGCCAGAGAAAGGGATAACCAAAGTTTTGGAACTTGAGTGAAGCGATGAGGCAAAGGACGGAGGGGTAACTGTGGTTATTTGTTAACCCAATCAGCATCGGAATTCTGATCCAACTGAGATTATCAATGATGGCTTTGGCCAATTATCGAATATTGTCGCGCCGAAAGGCAGAGAGCACGTGATTGATAAATGAGATTTAGCTTTTGCGGCTCCTAATTGTATGCAACGTGTGCAGGAAGCACTGAAATCCAGCACAGGACCCCTTCCGAAGACGAGAACGGGCACAAGGACACTGAGGCACACTCAGATAATCACAAACGACATAATCACAGCAATTAGGTGCATTAGTTTATGGTCAAGCAGCAGACACACAGAAGGGACAAGTCAGATGGCTTGTCAGCCGGTCAGATGGACAAATGGACTACAGGCAGGCCAATTGCTTTGCCTGGTTACGTCAGTTAGTTGGTCAGTTAGTTTGTCAGCTGGCCCAAAACCGGCCACGCCCCAATTAGTTTGTCCTCCGAATCCCTGCGCCTCTGCGCCTCTGCGCCTCAGATTTGCTTACAATTGACAGCTGAGTGACATTTGGGACTTAGGCCCGGCTTATATTTTTCCCCTGCAAGACGAACATCGAGTTGACATTCATTATTCAAATGTCGCACCCGCATGGCAGACATTCCGTAATCCCAGCTTAGTCTTTCATCACACAAACTGATTAGGCACAAGAGAACCTGACAACTGATGACCACAATTGCCGTTTAATTAAAGCCCAAGCAGTCGGGAAATCTGTAGACTGTAGCCCAACTACAGTGGAGACTACTGCTAAATGACAGGAGCAAACGAAGGGCAAAGAAGCTGTCATAATCATTGCGTTGCTAAAACCGATGGAAGGGGTTGTTTTCCCAGCGGGTTGATAGGGTGGTAAGGTGGTAATCACAATGGTAGGCCTTCTCTATTATTCAGTCCACCCTCATTAAACATTGAACCAAATGCTTTTATGGGAAATAACCCTATGACGTCTGGAGGAAGGGATATAACTTCAGCTTGGGCTGATCGGAAAGCTCGAATCCTTCAACTCCTTCTAAGTTACAGCACTTCGATTGATGTTCAGTCGGATGTGAATGGGAAATCCAAGTGAAACCAGTTCACCAAAAAGTGCTGGGGCAAATCATATACAGCGTTGTAATGTGAATAATTAAAATATTTTACCTTTTTACTTCGCTGCGCTTTTTAAACCATAATTAAATAGCTTAAAATGTTGGTGCGTTTGGCAGTTTTGGTTTTGCTGGGCTAATAAACTTTTGTAGTTCTGTTACATTAGCCAATTCCGTTCTTCCATAATTTATTTGAAATTTATTAGTGGGCTGATTGGTTTGTAATTAGCCGGCGGTGGGAGCAGCCATTCGATTTTCGTGGTCGCCCATCGAGTGTGCTGCAGGATCATTTAAAACCCATTTCGATTGGCCTAATCTTTGCCAACTCGATGGGCTGCCTGTAGCTAAGTGCATGCAATTTGTTTATTGGCATTAAAGCTACCATAGCTGTGCCCAAAAACTCGGCTGCCTCGTTTGCGTCTGACATTAATGCCTGCGAAAACAACACCCCGCCTACTTTTGTTCACACATTTGTTAGCCAATAAACTTTTGACCTCATTTTCCCGGAGAAAAAAGTAACACACACACATAAACTAAATGCAGGCAAAAGGGGGTGTGTGCAAAAGTAGGTGGGATGTGTGTTGCTGTGTAAAAGGGGAACCAACAAAATATTTGTGCTGCCAACCTGGGTGAAGCTGGGCTGACTGAGCCGTAGAGATTCCGCCTGGGCAGGTTTCGAATAAATAAAATACGACAACAAAAAATGGAGGAGGAAGCCCGGATCATAGAGAAAGAGAGGAGCAAGCAAAAATATTTGCACTCCCCGTGGCAGTCCAATGTTATTTCTGCTCTTGTTATTCCTGGGTTGTTGCTGGGTCGCCCACAGCAAGGATTATAAATTATAACGGCCTCACACGGTTATTTATGTCGTGTCAATGGGAAAGGGGTGTCAAACGGTCGGTGGAATATAGGATATATCATCAATGCATGCGCTTAGTTGAGTGGAAATAGCTGCAAAATAAAACTATGAGACTTTCAGGGCCTCACTTTAAAGTGGAGCAGAGCAGGGCGAGATGAAAGGGCCTTAAATCCCACTCCCAACTCCCCACTGACAGCTAAGCCAGAGATCTGCTTTGAAGCTTTTGATTTATTTGCTTGATGGCAAATCATTAATTTGTTTTCAGAGCCAAACCAAAAAAAGAAAGCGGCAAAAGCTTAGCATGCTTTTCAGCTGCTGTCAGATTTCGGGCGACAAACAACCACCGCACGAGCAAAAAGGCAGCCGAAAGAAAGGCAGCAAATTTAAATAAAACGCAAACCAACAAAATAATCCGACACATGCGCTGCCAAATGATTACCCAAGTCCTCGCCCCAAAAACCCCGACCTAATCCTATGTGCAATGTCTTTCCCTCCTCTTCCTCTGTGGTGGCATTTTGCGTGTGTGTTTGCGCCAAATATAAAACCGGGAAATCACTTCATTTTATTGCACCAACAGAGAGAGCCGACACTTTCCCAGTCGCAAAAAAAAGGGCCCAATCATTAAACGGAATTGAAGGATCTTAAATCGATTTTTTCGTTTAAAAGCATACACAAAATGCTGGGTTTGTTTGAGAGAAAGATTGAAAAAATAAAGAAGTTATGGCAAAGTCTTCTCGCCTCTGCGCTTCAAGCCGGAACGTTCTTTGACCGTATTCTTGATTTGCCCAACGAGATCCGAGTGGAAATCCATCTGACTGCTGCCCTCGTATAGACGGCACTTGACCTTCTCGCTGAAAGTGACACTCGCCTTGCTACTCTCCTTTGAGCTTTCGATAAAGTTTTCGATGGATTCTGGTAGCCAGTGGGCCTCTACAAAGACGTTAGTGGACTCGCTTTCCCGGTCGTGCTGGCTCTGAACAGCCGGTTCGGATGGGTTCCTCGATTCCAGGAGGGGATCGAGAATGTCACTTCGCTTCCAGATCCCCTGCTTGTATTCCGGCCCGTACTTGGCCCTCATGCGGTCTTCAAGCTCGTCCAATTGCGCTGGCGGCTCTCGAACCAAGTGATTCTTGAGATAAAAACACTCTAGTCAAAAGTCAAAGGAACAAATAAATGTTCCGAAACTCACCACCTTCAGCATAAATGTATAGACACCATAACCAATGCAGGCCAGGAACAAAGGAAAGCCCAGAAGCAGGGCCACGTTAAAACCGTTCAGCTCGGGATCGCTGACCACGTGGGTGACATCAACGGCTTCCACGGCAAAGGGGGGATAGAAGAAGCGGATTACCTTGTAAGTGGCATTGGCCAACTTCTCCTTCGGGAAGGGCTTCCAAATGTCCACGAACCTCAAGGACCAGTGCGAGTCCTCCGGCGGTACAGTTATCTCCATATTCTCCGTTATCAAAATTACAAACGATTTTAAACAAAATGTTATGGCAAAAGGGGCAACGTAGAATTTCTAAATCGTTATAGTGCTGGGCTCTCTAGAAATGACTGATCCATCAAGGGCAACTCAATTAGGCCCGGGAATCCTGGATACGCCACCCTTTAGCCAAACATAAATCATCGCCTACTTTGGAGTCTCGGAATGGCGTCATTGATTTATTAGCAGGACAAACGCTCGATTCGCTGCTAGGAAAAACTAGCGGAAGATGAAGCCGAAGTGGGAGCTGAGCAAAACCAGCCAAACCATCATCAGTCACCAGGCAAACAAACACGCCGACGACCCAAAGCGCAACGGCGTCATATACAAAAAGTGCTTGCATACATTACTCCGGAACCCAGGAGCCGGAATGGATATGGGACGAGGGACGAGGCAAGTGGGTTGTGGAACGTACAGAGTGGCTGAGGAAAGGACGCGTGCTTTCAGGCAGAAACACGTACAAGAAATCATGAAATGTTGCCGCCATCATACCGAAAATTGTACGGGTAACGTGCAAGCAATCAAAGTACATGGAGGCAGGACTCGGCTCGACTGCGACTTCCACTGCGACTGCGGCAACTCTGCCGCTCCCACGTCTGATTTTTACTACACACGTGTGCTGATGTGACGTCGACAGGATTGCGACTGCCTACTGACAACACCAGCGGGTCCCGGGCCTCGTCGGTCTGAGAACCAGACCCAGACTCTAACTTTGGCTCAGACTGAGACCGAGTCTGGTCGAAATGTAAAGCATAGTTGACGCAGACGTGCCAAGCTCGACGAGGCTGCTTTTTGCTGTTTAAGTAAGCATGCAAATGTCACATGCAGTCGGTAGTCGGCAGAAGTCGGTGGGTTGGGCGTGATAAGCACTCTCAGTTATCAACGTGGGCATTGCTCGGTTTTCGGTTCTCGGGCTTGCCTTTTCTTGCCCCTGCCACACATAAATGATGAGGTACACGGGTTGCCTCGGGCTGAATTTAGTGATTTCCCCGAGCATGTGGCATACTTTTTATGCGGCTCCTCCACGTGAGCATAAGGAATTTCTGTTTATGGTTATTGATTCTGCCGAGCGGAGGTGGAGATAGTTTGAGTTATGGCCGTGGGCTGATTTGTGTCAGCAGGAAGTTTAAAAGAAATTGTTGCATACTTTCGGGCGCCCAAAGTGGATTACCCTGTGGGTTGCAGGAGGCGCAGGATCTTGATTGAATTGCTTGTGGGGGGCGGAATAGAGATTGGTATTGGATTGGACTATATTGGATGGGGACCTGCAATCAAAAGCCTAGTTTAGTGCGGCTACCCTCGTTCCACTCATAGTTTCGATCAAAAATTCATGGCATACCCGTACCCGCTGGAGAGGTGTCAATAACTTGGCTGCTCCCACTGACACTTGGCAAGGAAGCCAGTCCGTACGTAATTTACAATTACCGCACGCACAGACAATTTATTTTCCAGCGCTAACAAATAAGCTTAACATTTTCGTGGCCAAGGGCCGTCTCGCTCCCAGGTGTATTGCAAATCAAAAAATCAGGCAGGGCTGGGCACGAACACACGCCCAGGCAATCAGTTAAATGTTTGTTGAACTCACCAGCGTCGAGGTCCTTAAGTTCTCGAGAAGTCCCAGGGGCTTCGCTTCTCCGCGTCTCCGCTCTCGATGCGTTTCTTCTGCCCTCTGCCGAAAATTGAGTTTGTTTGGCGCCCAGAAACCGCAGGACCGAACAAAAAACAACCAGAGGAGCAACAGCAGCAAAAGCAGCTCCGGAAAACGATGAAGCGGCAACTTGAAAAATCGCTTGTCGCAATGCGAGCGGAGTGACGGGGTAGACTCACGCGCAGACGTAGTGATTTGGCTTTAAAAAAGCAAGGAAAATTCCGGAGCTCCAGAGAAGGAAAAGGAGAAGTGGGAATAGGAGTGAGGAAAGCTGCCACGTAATGAAACTGACAATTTAACTCACAGTCAGCCAGTTGTTTTGGATTTCAGTCTGGGTTCGACGGGAAGCCGGGGTTGTGTGCGTGCTGAAAAATCGTGTTATCGATTTAATGCGTTACGATATATAAGTATATACACCCCTAGTGTGTGGGGAGGTTGAAGGGTTGGGTTTCGAAAAGGGTCGCTTGCCTTTGCCTTTGGCTTTGGCTTTTATCGTTCGCCTCCGTCCTTGTGACTGACTGACATTTTCGTGTTTGTTTGCCAGTCTTGTCTTTTGACCGTTTTCCACTCGCTCTCCACATTTCGCCTTCGCCTTTTCGGTCTGCAAAGGCATTTGATTAATTTGCAGCAGTTTTCAATTTGAAATTGCTTTAGTTTCCTGCAGTTTTTGCCATTCTCCTACCAGTGTGCAGGAATTGACAGCACTTTTGAGGCCAGGCACTCTCCCTTCTGCTTTCTCCGGCACTTTCTCTATAAGCCGTTGGCTGCGTATGTGTGTGTGCCTGTGTTTTCGGGTATGTGAAACGTTGAAAGCTTCTTATGGAATGTTAAGTGATTTTTTATTGAATTTTTAAGCCCCACTTAGGCGTTGTCACTGGAAGTATCCCGAACCTTTTCCCAAACGTATCTCTCTCTCTATCTCCATCTCACTTCCGCCTCATCCTGACGACTTGCTTACTAAATTAACAACCTTTTCTTGTTCTCTTTTTAGGTACGTATACGCAATTTTATGACTCTGTCCCCTCGGGTGAGTGCAAGTATTGAAAATCAGGGCAGATATTGGGGTTTTACGTTACTCGGATATGAGATAATGAGAAATCCCTTTTATGCGTTAGACGGGGCTTTAACTCGTTCACACTTTCAGCGGCAAATGAGAACGCAAACAAAGCCCGGCGGCAACAATGATCAAATTTAACGCGCTTTTTAAACCAAACAAAAGCAAATTGCAATGGCAGCGCACCCACACATGCACAAATACGCACACCAGCCCCTCCTCCCAGATGCACACATGCATACTAATTATGAGTATGCGCCGCACATTTAAGCAAATATAAACAAAACGTTAACGACAACAAACAGGAGCTCGGTAGTTGGGAAATGCGGGTCTCGGGCGGGGTTGGGCGCAAAGAAAGATGTAAATGCAGCACATGCTGCATCGAAGGAGATGGAACGTGCCATTGTGGGAGCTGGGAACTTGATGAACTGCAGCTCCGACAGCTTATCGCATCGCCTACCGATGAATGTGTGATTTCATGTGCTTATTGTTATCCCCGTTGTTGCCACTGCCGCTGCTCCAGCTATTGTGCATTATTGTGATTATTATTATTAAAATGCAAATGAGCCGTGCGGACTTGTCAAGCATTCTCGTTTACATTCCCATTCACATTCACCCATTGCCATTAATGGGCGAAGACAACGACAGAATCAGGGCGAGATGAAGGTGCACATGAAGTAATAAACATGCAAAATGCTTTAAGCGGCGCCATTCGATGCACCGAACTGAATCGTTGGTCATCATCATCATCGGAGCGGAGTTTTTGCAGCCGGTCAGAGGCAGACGTCATCATCAATTGCTGGTTGGCTGCCCATTAACATAATTTCAATTTGCATAAAATGGCGTTAAATATTACATTTTGGACAGCTGCCGCCTGCAATGAGTGACAGGAGCGCGGATTGTCGAGGGGCTGGCAGGTTCATTGAGCTAATTGCAGGTGCGAATATGTCGCAATGAGCATTGCACGCCCCACCAGACACGCAAGGCGGCAATGGGAGGCGGCAATGGGCAGTGGGCGTGGCCTTTTGGCTTTGTTTGATGTTTAATTTAGATTGAATTTCTGCATAAATTATGGCGCACAAAAATGATTTCAAAATTATTGCTGGTTTGTTTGCGGTCAATTTCGACTGCAACTATTGCATAATTTGAGGCTTCGGGGCAATTAAACGTAGCCCGCACACTCAAACATTTCGAGAGAGAAAGCATTCAGCATTTATGGGGCTGAATTTTTTATTGTTGTTCTTGCAACGCGTTTCGGCAGGCAGCTCCTTCCAGGCAATTTCCCCAAAAACGTCGACTGCCATGGCTGCTGTCTAATGTGCATTTCCTGCTCCTACTCCTGCTCCTACTCCTGCTCCCACCAACTGACACTTCACACGCTCAACGATTTTTGATTTGGCAGCTCGTTTGCCAAATTGCAGCAGCAACGGCAAAGGCAACAAAAACTAAAACTGAAACGATTCAGCCAGCCGCCATGCCACGTCGCTCGCTTAGCGCATTTGCAAGTGATTTTATGCATATTTCATGGCATACTTTTGCTCGCTATTAGTAGTAGCTTCGAGAGCAGCCTCAGCCGAGTGGAGTTCCCAAGGATATTCATTTATTATGACGACTATTTCGGCCCGAACTAAAAGCCTTTCAATGGGGCGACTGGCAAATTGCGTGGCAGCACAGCGACTGGGCCATCATCGTTATTATCGAAACTTTGAAGTATTTCCAACTCGATTACCATAACCCAACTAAGAATCATAATCAAATTTACCCATTTGACACTAAACTTTGAGCAGAAAGGGGGCAGAATTGGGGCTAGGTGGTTGTTTACGCAGAGTTTGCGAGGCCCTAAATTGAGTTAGACAATTAGAAATTGTGCGTCTGCAGACTCTGCATTCAATATGCGCCCTCAGGCTTCCCCGTAAACTTTGGCCCATTTCTATTCCTCGGCTCGGCACTCGACATTTCTGAAGGCAGCCTCAGAGCCCCAGATCTTCAGCAATGCACTTTCGATCCGGGGCCCTAAGAGCATGCTTTTGCATAAAACGCTTTGGCCCCGAAAATACCCATGGCCATAACCGAGTTAAGACCGCAAATGCTTTGCCAATGAGACAGAACCGAAATGTTGCTGGTTTTGACTTTTTATGCCAGCCATATAGCAGACATATTGAAGGAAATTCAGGGGGGGATGTGGTGGATCATGTAGAATTTTTAAGCGTATATGGTAGATAGAGCAGCCAATGCATTAGTTTGGGCAAAGCTCATTAAGCTCCAAGTCCTGGGACTTTATTGAGGCTTTGCCTGTATTTTTTCTAGTAAAAATGCTCTTGATTTCGGTCCAGAAAGCCATGCAAATAGGCCATAAATTCATATTTTATTGTCTTGGCCAACACTCTCCACTGGCTTCCCCCTCTTGGTCCACGAACAGTCTAAACTCTTGCCAAACATTCGAGAGCTGCATGCACATACTTTGGGGCTTGACTGGG